TGATTCCTAGTCATACTGTTTTGGCCCGTGATATGAGACGTAGGAGTGGGTAAGTACCAACTGTGGACAGTAGCTGTTATTGTAGACGATCGAACCAAGAGATAGCAGTGTTCGGTTTATGGGTAGCTCTGTAGGAGTAGTTATGCATTGGGGTCAACAGATCGAATATATGCACCCCACTTTACGCGCGACTGGGACATGAAGACTACTGTATCCCAAATACGCTGCGTCCCGTCCCGGCTCCTTTTCAAAGAAATCTGTACTAAGTAGTGTGGCTGAGTTTGCTGAGAATATTTGTGATACGTTACTACCAAGTCATGTCACGAAATTTTTCGGGTCTGCTGTACTGTTCGGTGATTGTAAGAAGTAATTTTCGTGAAGTCGACCCTCTTGACTGTGACCGAGCCATTACAACCTATGAGGTTTCATCAACTCAGCCATCAACCTGCTTTCCCTGAAAACCATCTAGTATATTTCATCATTACCCTTTTCATATTTAGACTTCGTTAATTCTCTTAAGACATCGATAGTCAACCACGGAAAGATTTTATCATAAGCTTCGTCCGATTAAGATCTTGGTATATATAACAATATTTAACGAGAAGGGGATATTGTCTAACTTCGCCAAAAAATCCTCAGAGATGATCCGAACAAACCATCAAAAGCGTGGTGTCCGTGCTATTTTGACTGGCTCACCATTCACTACTCAGGGCTTAATGACCCATATTAGAAGCCAGCTAATCTACGTACAACTAGGTTCTTCCGGTTACTAGCAAAGTTAAAAGTACAGCAATAAATCTGACGCTTGAATAGATAGTTAGGTCTAGTAGAGAAAATAAAGCATCAGTAAACACTTACCATATACTAGTTGGTTGCTGGCAGTTAACTTGAGGAAAACTTTGATTCCGTTCAATTGTGTGAGCCGGGCTGACCTTGTTTCTTATCAGAGCAGATTGAGTCCCTAAAATCAAATTTCCCGAGTTTGACTCGTCCAAGGGAGACAGAACCAAATTATCATCAGGTAGCGGGAGATCACACTCACAACTCCCGTCATCAACGGAATTGTTGCACAGTAAAACGCGTGTCTTGCGGTCCAGACTATTTTCAAGTGAGCCGCGACAATCGATGTGGGTTGCTTTATGGTTTGGATCGCACCGCTGCAATTCGAAAGTGCTGCTTGCGGATTTTGCTATGGTGCCGCAAAATTGCTCTTTGAAGTTCTGGTCCGGTAAGGGGAAGGCACCTTTTACCTGGGACGATCTCCGGGTATAGGTATTCAGGTTGTGTATTGAAGATCCAATCATTCCCTAAAACGCGTGTGACAAACAAGTACAAATTGGGCATTTCTTTGAGACAGGAAAGTGGTCGTTGGTGAAACATATAAATAACACCGTTGCTTTAGTTCTTCTTACCCAGTGACCTAAAAATATGAGGGTAGACACTGTACTGCACGAACTCATCACGTTACTTTTTTACTGGATGATAAGGTAAGAAAGATTGTATTGAGTAGAGGCTTTTAGAATTTAAGAAGTTGGAAAATTGGAAATGTGAAGTGAAACCCTTATGCAAAAATTTGTCAGTTCAGGCTAAGTTGATGGTTGAAATCATCAAGGAACTGTATTTGTCCCCGTTTCTCAACATTACTGGTTTCTTTTAAAAATAATTCCAATTCACACACAGCAAATTATTGTTTCGTCAGGGCATAATGATAGGATATTTCCTTTAAACCAAGTGATTCGGCCAGGCGAAATTTGGTTCTGAACTGACAGCGGAAACTCAGTAGGTAAATTCTTGTCCGGACGTTGACAAAGTTGCTGTTCATGTGTGATGGAAAATCTGAACATCCCCACAACCAGCTCATTATACTACAGACAGTAGAAATTGATCGGAAATTCGGGAGCTAAGTCTTCCAAGATGTCATTCAAATATGAGGCCGTACGTTTTTACTCGTCCATAAGTGTCTCTTCTTTGGTAGGGTCACGCTCTTTAGTCCCTCTCTACCTCATACTGACACCACGCCTCAGTATCCACTTTTATGTTAGTCTTAGTTGTGATTTTTTGCTCTCCAAACTGACAAATTGGTTCTCGTCAATTTATAGTTCGTCTGGATGGATGCGGAGGAAGCCTGTCAGCATGCGATTACGTCATATGGGCTCCGTAAATGAAGTACGAAAGGCATTTTAACACCAGGGCTGCAGAGCCGCTTGGGGCCGAACTGTTTGGTCTTCAGTTAATGGCTGGGAGGTTGAGTTTGATTCATTGATGAGAATTCGCAATGAGATTGAAACATTTGTACAGTATTTCCAGACTTTTCTGGACTGGCTGAGTGCACCGATAGAACGAAATCTTGGCTGAATTGTTCGTATTTTATCAACAAATTATCTGTTTATTCCTCCCATTCTGAGTTGACACTAGGGTTTCATTAGGTTTGCATGCCCCCGGTAACAGAAAAACCGTTTTATCCCTGGGTTCAATTAATTTGAAGTTATACTGATTATGGTCTGTTCAAATTGCTTTGCAAGTGCAGGCTGTTTGTGTAGTGATTTATTACCTGCAGATGGTGCACCTGAATTCCTGACTTGAAGGATAAATCGGTGGAGTCGCATCGGCTCAAGTTTTTTCCACGGGAGTTTTACCAAACCATACATGTATGGCCTTAACTTACTGCAAACTGTCTCGCGCGCTAGCAGGACAACATATTTGGGTCAAGAAATGCAGAAAATTGGTAGAACAATAAAAACCTACAAAACTGCAGTCTTATTGTGTCAGAACTAACAGAAAAAAAATGAAAAAAGGTGTCGATTCTTTGACCGCCTGCTGAGTTTCAACAGTTCTAGTTTTGATGCGCAGTCAGTGGTTCCAGAAGAAATAGTGGGTTTTGAATTCTGTAATAATTACCTAGCAGTCTGACTTTTCGAATATAAATTAATCCTTCAGAGCTCTGTTTTTGATATGAAAAAATTCTTCCGTCACCGCTTGGACATCGTTTAATGGGAACTCGAAAGCTTTTGGATGGTTTTGGATTACTGCAACTGGACAAACACCTCTATAGCGACCCACTATTTCTTGTGGCCATAGGCTAGAGATTACAAGGTGTCTGAAGTATGATAACACCCAAAGAATAGAATAGCAGACGAAGACGAGATCAACAGCCTTAAAAAGAAAATTTCACGACCCATCCTTCGCGTCGAAATAACTGAATTAAAATGATCGCCAAACGGGACAACCATTATAGTGGCAATTATACTCACCTTGAACCATGGAATAACAGTTTACCAACAAATTTTCCAGGTATTTTAACCAATTCCAGTATTCACGTTGACTTACCCAGAAAGGATTCAATGTTTTAGCAGTATATGCGGTAAGTGGAACAAGGCCCCTAATCGTGACCAGCGTGTTGTATGGAAGAGGACTGACCGAAAGCATGCACAGAGTTTAGGGTGACAACTTAACTTTGGAGCTTCATAATTTAGAAAGCCTTGGCCAGCAATTTAAAGGATCTGGTAAGGTGCACATCAGGCAGTCGTCTAAAGTAAATATTTAGTATGAAACCACCGAATGAGACGACCAATGCATATAGCCTGCTAAAAGACTGTGATACTACTTTTTATTTTCGTTTTCCAAAGCCCTTAACCACTACACAAGTAATGGGACCACTACGTAGGACCATATCTCATAGTATATTTCTAACCAGATATTTGCAATTGTTTGTATATACTCACTAGACAGAGGCCCACGGACGGCTTTTCGGGAGTATTTGGGATCTGCGCAACCATTGCGTGTATCCACTTGGCTTCACCCATTTACGCCCGCTCTTTTATCTGCTTCTAACTTGCCACCGGTAGCATGTGGAACCAAAACGCTATAATGTTACACTTAAGCTTTCTGTTGGACACAGCCGGCACACACACTTCGGTTTACTTGGAAAAGAAATCTTTGGCTCACAGGTGACCAGGATATTCCATTTTGCGTGTTATAGCAATTAGATATTGACTTCAACTATTTAAGAATTAGAGCTTTATGTTCCGCCCGTGGTTGTATGATGAGACAGGAGTGTCTAAAAGGGGGATCAAGATTTATTTTCTGTTCCATTATGAACTGTTTATCGTTATTTATCTTGTTATACTATATTTATAAGTGTGCAGAACGTATCACATTATATTTATCATACATCGCATATAAATCATATATTATTACGCTGTACGTTATTCTGATAAGTGATGACAGGCTTAGTATAACAACTAATGTGGGAAAAAATATCTTCAAATAATAAAGTTGTATCCAGTGGTAGGGTCTCAATCGGCTGCGATCTAGATAGTATCATAACGGTTTTGTGAATCCTACTGGCACTTTCAACTGGAAGTAATGGAATAAGGTTTAGATTTACGAGGAAAGAAAGGATGATGCTGATGCTGTTTTACGAAAAGCTCAATAAAGATGACAAACACTCCAATGAATACGATGACGATAGGGATGGAAAACTGAATTTAACTTCCACAAAATCAGTATACACTTCGAAACTAAGAATGGTTGTTGGTAAACAGACAAAAGAGAGCTACCATCTTTAATGAATGATTGGTTGGCTGACTGGCTGACTGACTGACTGACTGACTGAATGAATGGATGGATGGATGGATGGATGGATGGATGGATGGATGGATGGATGGATGGATGGATGGATGGATGGATGGATGGAGAAATGCGCTAGTGCCAGCGCATCATGTCAAACTGTTGTCTACCAAAGCAAACAGGAGTTTCAAAAGAATTATGACAGCTTTGGATAAACCATCTTTTATTGCAAAAAACGACAAAAAATTAGTTACGTAGTTCTTGACAAATTTTCATTGGATGCATTCACGTCTCCTTTAGTCTACAAATCAGAGCCTTAGTCAAACAGGTTAAAATTCCCACATGCCTAATAAAAACATTTTTATCACCTTGCTCGTGTAAAAGGTGCCATTTGTCGACAAACTTCAAAAAAACTGGTAACTCGCATTTACTTGCAATGATTTCTGAGAAGCTGTCGGAGTGTTGATAGCAGTGCCACCGTATTTTGATATGACGCCTTGAAAATTGGACGGAGCACCAACCAAACCACCCATCACGCCTGTGGTCAAAGCAGCAATTGATTTGAGCGCATTGTTCGTTTGTTCCTTTGTGCATTTTTTATCTGAGAAAAAAAACAACTATGAGATGTTCTCATATCTCCTTAGTAGACCTAGTTTTTATGGAATTAGGCATGCCATGGATTTTTTATTTTCCACTCTGAGATTTCATATTATTTCTGGACATGTCATTTTTCTTTTGACCTGTGACTTATTCTTGGCTTCAGATAAGTGAACAAATACCCGGCCTTTGGTGAGTATTTCCCCAGAATGTTTTTTTCATTTGAACGGTCAATGAGTCTTATAATTACCGAGCCATAAACTTGGAATAAACCGGTTAAGTTTTAGCCAGGATGTGGTGTGAACTGAGGAGCGCTTCTGGTCCTTATTGGGGCTTAGCTAGTGCACTTAAGCGAAGAATCCGAAGAGTTTGTCATACCACCCACCCTACTAATTCACACAGTTTTCATATTTCAGCAAACTGAATTTGCTACTGAATTTACGGTCACTGAATTAATCAGGTAAGAATCTGACCCCTGAAGAATGGTCAAAAGGTTGCTGCAGGGAGAATTATTGGATCATGATGATAGGTATGGACTTTACACTTCGATTATTCCACCGTCTTTCCAGTGAGAAAACCGGGAATAAAAGGAAACAAAACACACCCCATTGCATACGTTCACGCTGGGACCGTTGGAGTAGTTGTGGTCAGGTGGATCAGTATTCCGAAGCGTATCAAATTAAACTTTTCTAAACGTTCACAGTATCCGACCTTTATAAGTCTACTTGATTAGTCTAACTGCGTACTTATGTACACGTATGGACATGTTTCTCGGAGTAAAACTTAGGTCTACTTGGTTCAGGTTTGTTTATTGTACATTAAACATGGAACGGTGACTTTCCGTACCAAATCCGTTTTGGTAGCTTCGTTCCTTATGTAATGAAATGGAAGACCATCTTTAGATTGTTCATAAACACAAAAGTTAAGTAACGTACCGCGCGCACCAAACTTCGGAAAACATTCCTTCCCAGTAGATCTACTTGATAGCCTAACTGAAAAAGGACCTTTGTATAGAAATACCTGTTTGGGTTGCCGAGGAAAGTTCGTTTTTGCACAGTGGTAGTATTTATCCAGCGCTTTTCTATGGCAGTATGTATTTAACGTAAAAAAAACCTGTGTACTGACAACTGGTAAGTGATTAACTCCAGTATTGTTCGTCTAATAGATACAGCTTGTTTAAGTGAAAAAAATCTGGAATAGACAGTGGGAGGAGGTCCCCAACGAGGGATTTCAGTTTATATTTGGGTACACGTCCATTATGGAACAGCCAGATCAATTGACAAGCACAACATTGCTGGGATAGCGATGCGACGGCGGAATATGCCCGAGCTAGAACTCATCCACTCCTGCTATTCATTTCTCAAAATGGCCTTCCATTGTCTCTAGCCCAAAACGGTGTTTTGTTTTGTGACACGCTTCAATAAATCTATTGTTTCCGGTTGTCATAGCCACAAGCAATCCCCTGGTACACAGGCGACAAACATGAGCAGACGCATTAGGTATTCGCGGTTATGGATAGATTTAGTCCCACCTCGCCAGAAACAGTTATGTTGTCGTGGAAATCAATTGGTTTAAGTTGTACGCTAACGCATGCACTGAAAAGCACATTAAAGGATTCCAAAACGTACACGCTGCTTATCACGGCAATCTAGGGTCTGCGTATAAAAACGGGGCTAAAGCAACCCCATGATTGAAATGACCTGCAGACAGTACAATTAATTACATATTCAGACACTATACGTAATAACCCATAATATGATTAAGTCTTCGAAACTGTGATAGAATGAGGCACCTTGAGAAGATGCATATCTGAGAAAGACTCGAAATTGCTGAGCCCTACGAACTGTCATCCAAATTACCCACTTCCTAGGGGAACTTCTGACATAGTTTAATTCGTCGTGGATATCCGCATCAAAAGTTTTTCATAGATACACGAATGGTATGTTTGGGCTATGTACTGAGCTCTACAATTTGAATGGCCTCTTCTAATTTGCTATAAAGCGGCTGGGTTGCTTTCCTTAAGCACGCATATTTATAGTTACCTAACGTCAACTGCAATGTTTGGTGGCAAACTTAAACTCACAGCGTGGTTTGCACCGCCGAATTACCTCAGCGCTTGCTCCAAGTTCCCTCAGCAGATCCTCTAGAGCACCGATATGTTTCTGCATTAAAACACAAAAAAAATTCATATGAGCAAAATGTCTACAATTTTTGATTAAGAAACTAAGAATTCAAGTTGAATTGTTTCAGGGTTCCTCATAGCCCTTCTGGACCCCCGAATTTATGGGCCATATTTGGGCAGAATGTCCTTAAAGGTCGATGTCAGACTGTCGCACACGGCGGTTGGAGCCCAAAAATCTAAAAGCTCGTTAGTAATTCAAGACCAAGAGTGAATGATGCATTTCTTATAATGCAGTTGTCGAAGCAACGTTGTTAGCTGCAACCAACAGACACCAAAATTTGATTTGATCACAAAGCAAATAGCAGGTAAATTTTTGCTAAAATACTGAATACATTGGTGCACAAGGTATTTGCATTAACTAGAAATCACTGTTTATATTTTTTTGGATGCGAGATTATTTCCCTTACTACTTTCCGTCCAGGTTAGGTAAATTTGCCAAGTCATATTCTCTTGTAAATTCATAGAGGGATGTCTCACAAAGAAAAATTTTCAGAGCTGTAGAAATGCATACAATCGCATTAGAATTTTGGCTCAAATGAGTTTCATATCTGGAATGACGTTATACTCACGTCCTGCATTTCTTTTTCCGTTCGAATTATTTCCATCTTCCGGCCTAACAAACGCCGGGCTCGCTTTTGCATCGCGATTCTCAATTCATACTGTTGTTGCTTGTGCATCATTAGAGCTGCAGTAAAACAGAGAAAAATACACATATTTTACTTTACATTTTATTTCATATTTTATACTTATTCCATTTTATTTGAAATATGACGGATTAAATCTACAGATAAATACTTCCGCAAATGATAATCGGAAGTAGCTAACTACGCAGTTTCACTGATTGTGCATTCTACAAAAATACACTGGATTAGGAGTATAGGCACCGATTCAACTATGCGTTCAGCTTAAGACGCAACGCTTATGTAATGTTAGAAACGCTTATAAGTTTTGTAGATATTGTGATCCAAGAAAAAGTGCGTGTATTTTTCAGTGTTAGTTGTACTAGGTTTTTAAGTAGGTTTGAAGAGGTCTAAAAGGTACGTAGAACCTTCTATGCAGGAGCGCTGGTAGTTCACATACGGCCTGTCTGCGTCAGTCAAAACTCCGTTCGGAGTTTCCAAACATCAACTAGTGGTGTGATTCTTACCTGTACTTCAGCCCACGTACGTGTGACGGCTATGTCATTTGAACGGCCTATTGAAGGCTGATCGCCACCTAATTGACACGGGTAAATTCCCGCTTCTTCTGATGAAGGTCAGTCACGATAGTCAAAAATGTCAGTTGTGAGAAACAACTGCGCAATTATTGTTCTTTGTCCTCCACCAATCAACCCTAGTGTTCGAGTTTGATTACACAGCAGAACATCCTGCTAATTTTACAGTTTTATTCTAATGGGAAAAATTGTAATATGATATTTGGAACTAAAATAAACGTTCATTCAATAAGGACTCTGAATAATTTCGCAAGGATGAGTAAGTGCAAATTGAACACTGCATTCGTTTTGACCGGCGTTACAAGAAAACGTCATTTCCCTTCCAATCGATACATTGTTGTTGGTCTACGTTATCTCGCACTCAGAAGCCTTACAATAAAAATTTTGCCCATATTCAACCGACTGAGCTCATATTACAAGAATCAGACTGCACCAAAAGCATACTTGGACAGTAATCCCGGATAATAAAAACCTGTCAAATTTTTCCCATATCGGAATTACGAGATTTTCCGTAGTCTTCAAAGTACTGGCTGTAGGTATGTCATGTTTTGTTTCTTCACTTTACCGACATTCTCTGGAGTTTCTTTTTGCCTCCGTTCCAGTGACTCGGAAAGTATGTCATGTCTCGGGGCATTTGATTATGATTACAGTGTAATTATGAAGGATGCGTTGTCGCCCAAGATAACATTCAGGTAAGACGATTTTTTCAGCGTTCGCTTCATGGTTTATCATGGACCAGGGCCTTCTTATAAATCAAACATGTTTAACGGCCAAACAAATGTTCAGATGATGCCCTTTGGTTGGATGGTTGGCTGCGTTGTGATTTACGCCAGAATGCCATGTGGCATCGTTTTAATTGGTTTAAAGGTTCCTAATCGAATAGAAACGGTTGACCAACGCCCGTAGAACGTTTGACAAAACACAACCGTTTCCAATAATTTTGCGCATCCTTTGTGGCACAGAAGTGTAGAAATGAGTTGGCATCTGTATATGCTTATTATGCCACAAAATTTGTTTATTCCCGAGCCTGTCTGAAATGAAGCAACCTCCGAAAGACCCGTTATTTCTTACTTAAATTATTTTCAATGTCTTCTCCTCACTGAGAAAACAACCTAGGCGTACCGAGTTCGACAGATATCCTCTGGAAATCATCACCAATTCTAAACCACCTCCACAGATGCAGGAAAAGAAGTCATGTATCAAAAGTGGACAGTACTCGAATATCGCTCTGAAATGTAATCAAAATCATGGTGAACCTATTCATAGGACTTGCCTTGCCCAATTTGCACTTGTAAATTTTTAAATGGGCTGTGCTATATTTAATATTACTTAAAGTAAACCTTTGAGTAACTTTTACCTAAATTGGGCCGAATTTATTTCAGTCAGCTAGGTCTACATAGCTAATGGCATTTAGACAGCGTTTGCTTTATATTTGACTCCTCAGTAATTCTTTAGGTAGCATATAGATCATATAGATCATATAGAATAAATCGGCAGTTTTTATAATCCAAAACAGCATCTTATGCGATTTTCGATCACGTTCAAAACGGAGATAAGCATCAGGCGTCAACTTCCGTTTTATCACTGGAGTGGTTCTTCACGCGCCGCATTCAACTACTTAATCGTTTGAAACCTTACATCTTTGTAGGTGATCAAGATTAGTATTCGCTCACTTGTGCGAGTTTGCTCTTAGGACCAAAAAACTTTAATGGACAAATCCGCCCATGCTTTTCGTATTTCTTTATCATTTGCACAGCTGCAATCGTGTCCAAACGTTTGTCCCTTAACCTTAAGCACTTAAAACGCTATCTTTACAGAGGAGATCTACAGCTGTTGAAGTATCTTCAGTGGAAGATTGACAAGTCATTCAAGGTTGATCGATGTACAAAATTAAACTGACCAACAGATTAAATGAAATGCATTCACGTAAACAACTCGCTGGTCAACACAAATTATCGTGATATGTGCCGCGCTCTCCAAGAGCTCAAAGGGAAAAGGTTCTGGTTTTGTTCTAAATAGGTTTGTTTGAATAAGCTTATCCACAAATTTATAAGCATGTCAGATCAATCTACACATTTCGGTGACCGTCTTACATCTTAGCATGATTGGCTGCATTTACACTTTAATAACAAATGCTCTGCATAATCTGATGACCGGACTGAACTACAATACGGCTTGTGATCCTATTCTTTGTCACCGCTACTGCAATAATTTTGGGAAAATATCCTCAGCACAGAAGCCGTACCTCTGTTCAATCATAGTTCCAGTAGCTACAAGAAATTTGGTTAGAGATGATACCCTCAAAGTTGTCTTAATTGCTACCACATTCCCAGTCTTAAAATTGCTTGAGGTTTAGTCTTATGGATACGGACTACCAACTTGCTAGATGACTACACTTCAGTCCGTCTACTAAAATCCGCACAGGGATAAACTCGAACGATGTTGCTAACTTCTTTACCAATTGAGGAAATAACCACCATAATGATCCTAGTATGCCTAGTTTATACTCAAAGCTTAAAGCCTTAAACGACGACCCATTAACATACCTTAACTTTGTCAGTGGATTGGTCCTTCATTCAGGACTTCCAAGTCAGGGAGCGCCACAAAAGCTGGAAACCTGCTCTACACTTTTTTGATTCAGGTGTTTGTGGTTGCGATATTTCACAGGATACACACTCGCAGGACTCTCGCTTGAACAATCGGATTCTCGTTCTGACGCAATCATTATGGAACTGTACGCAATTCTCACCCCAGCACGGCCAAGAATACGCACCGCTGAAGGGCTCTAATAACAGAGAAACTTTTTTCCATTGCTTTACACGTTTGGTGCAGACATACCAGAATGAATGCATCAGGACAGTAGGGCGGTTGTTTAAACAGGAGTCCTGTGGGTGTGCAGTCCAGCAAAAATTAACACCCGAAAACAAGTAAAAATCTTTACATAAGGGAACTACCACACACCACAATCATGTGAGTCCCCACATTACCTGGCTTCTTGTCAACTTCGGCTTACACCATCATGATCACTTATTAAGTTTCCTCGTGGTGGACTCATGCCAAATAAATGTCCACTTCTGTTTATTGATTGCGAATCTCTACGCCAATATTTACCTCTGGAGATGAACGAAGCTGTTCTCTAATTTTTTTCTTATGGAAAATTTGCTTGTAAATTTGTTTAGCGTTCGGCGTGGACTATGATATATGATATGAGTGCATGAAGCAGAAGGTCGGAATAACCTACCATTGATGATACGAATAATTCGCCAAAGCAGGAAAACCACCATAGCCGCAGCGGTTTCAGAAGCGTAGCGAACATACAAAACATCCGAGGCAAAAGAAGCCATGATTATTCCAGCATCAAAATACTGAAAAGAAACATGAAAAGGGGACCAGTTTCTAGTACTCCAGTTGCAAAAGTGACACGAGTGGGTTATTCGTTTGACAAAAATGAGCTTTAAACAGCAGTATGTAGGCAAACAAGGCTGTCGATCAAAAAACTGTCCAGCAATGCGCACGTATGATCAAAAGTCCTTAATAGTGAGTTGATATTCGTATAAGAGAACAGGTCTGATAACTGCTCTACACATCCGCATTCAGTAAGGGATTGGCACTCTGGCATCACTCAAATTATGTACTGTAGAAAACCGGGAACAATGAAGGAAGGTAAATATAGTAAAATCTTACCAATACTTTTAAGCACTGAAGGTGAATGCACATGTTGATGTTCATTGAATTACCCTGAACTATTCCATGACTAGCCACACGTCTAAGAACTAACTCCGGTCCATTTCATCCAGTAATATTGCAGCTTCCGATGCCACTAAATGTAAACTATATACAGTTAAAAGTAAAAAATTACTTGAGCTAGTTGAGAGCCTATATTTACAGGATATTATAGGTCATAGCAAGCTTTTCAAAACCACGCAATAAAATGAAAATCAACTGTCACTTCTTTAGTGTCTTTGCTGCTCCAAATTAATCGAATACTGAACAACGAAACAAACCATGTGACATCAATTAATTACTTGGCAGTAAATTTAATATGCCCTTAATCAGATTTAACTCCTTAATATTACCTGTCCGTCATGAGAAGCGATACTTAACACCACTTGACTTGATGTATGTGGGAAGAGCGTATGCATGGCTCAAGTGCCGCACAACTTATGTTGTAGAAGATTTGGATTCCTATCTGTTACTCTGTAACCGTGCTGCAAATTCAACCGAATCATACTGATTGCAATAATAAAAAAACATTGATTTCTGAAAGACCAAGCCTGAACATAATAATAATAACGGTATTTCTGTTGGGTAGGATCAACTATTGCAATGACCATTTATTGCCCTGCTATGTTTGTAGAGTTAGCAGAAACGCAGCAATCAGAAATGCTGAATTACCCAAATAGTTCCATGCGGTACCATGTGCTTTTAAAACCAGTGATAGGGTATTGCAATATAGGCACATTTATTTGACGAAGTAGGTTTTTTTAAACCAAAGACTCAGAAAAATAGCTGTTTGACGTTTCTTTCATTAGTGTCTATGGATAGAGCATCGTCATGCCGAGGAAATGGTATAGTACAACAATTCGAGTGGGACTACCTAAACGTGAACCGTAATTCATTTTAATAGTCCAGTGAATTTATTTTGGGTCATTTTAAAAAAGTAGTGCATAACCGAAGTTAAACGCAATCTATCTATAACTACCAGAATATTTCTTCCACGTTACTGTTACTAAGATTTATCTCCATCAGTCAGGTATTTGATGGAAGCTTAAAATATTCGGTAATTTTCGGTTGATATTCCGTCCTTTAAGTGGAAAGTGTCCGTGTCAAAACTTGAAAAAAAGCATTCAAGGGTTGCTTTTCCTTATTGAATAATCATCAGTTGCGTACATTTCACCAAAATACAGGGCGTTTGAACTAGCCGCTTGAGGTTTACGTTAATATGTGAGCGCATATTGCGAGTAGTGGATTCGAAATTCTCCGAAATCTCGTGAGGTGTGCAGTGTTGATGATTCTCAAGAAAGATGAAACAACTACACATTGTTTCTTGGTCTCTCAGCATAGTCTGGCTTTACCTACACGAGATATTCATGAATATCTCGTCATGACGAAAGTACCTCCGGGTGTTGAAACGGACGTCTGGGTAATCACTGTTTCCACCTCGGTGAGTCCAAATGATTAATTTTGGACCCCCTTTCCACAATGTTACAGGCAATTTCTAACAGGTATTTTATTTAGCTGGTTGTTTTTTTGTGTTGAGTTTCATGATCAGATTACCATCTTTTTAAATTAGCAAAGACCGGTTGAAATATGGATTATTCTGGAAGAACATCAGCGGCGTTTTTATACATAGTATCCTGTCCTGTTAGACTACCCCTAAAAGGTAACATTTTTAGATGTTAAAGACAAACATTATCGTCCTGATAAGAGCCCATCAATAGGAAAAGACTGCAGTTCTAGTCACATGGTCAGTTATGCGACGCATCTGTGACACCTCTGTGAGCCAATAGAAACCTAAGCACTACTTCAAACATTGAGTTTCACAGGCTCGTGGATTTTTCCGTATCTGTTTGTTTAATCTTCAAATCCCACTTGAAGCTGTCCATAACACTGTTAAAAACACACGGGATTAAATTGCCACTACTAGTGAGACCAAGCAGCATATATTCCATCATTTAACCACATTCCTAGACGTCTAAAAAAGCCCTGTCGACCAAGAAACGCCTCAGTCGCATTAATTTTTATTTCATCCACAAATTACAAATCTTTGGACTCCTTGTAAAAACTGGCTCTGGTACAAAAAGGGTTAGCATACTACTCTGCTAGTGAATGTCTTTAGAGGCATACACTTATAGAAATATCCTTCAAATGTTCAGTAAGATTAGTAGTTTAGAAACAATTTCAAACTTTTTTCAACGTTTCTAGTTTGTTTACTAAGTTTTGGCATTGGACACAATTCAGCTTCCGGATACTATGTTTTCTTTGCTCACAGAGAACGCTTTAATCCCTGATCAATGAACTTGTGCGTCATGCCGTCGTCTTATTCCTTTTTTGAGAAGAAATCAGTACAGCATCAGAGATTTATTTGTGCGGATACACAACACACGTCAAATAATTTGTGTCAGATCACTTTGCTTCGCAGTCCTACATTTGCAGCAACACGTGGCAAACACGGGGTGGGTATGAACATAGTCTGCTAAAGATTTAAAATGAGCTTCATAGTGTAACGGAAAGGGAGGCGATGCTAAAAATCCTTACTCGTGTTCGAAACGGTCTCTTTTAAAAACAAACGTTAGTCCAGTCATAATAGCGATGGTTTTCAGCCACTTTGATAAATCTTGTCAAAACAGTGTAACGATATACCAGGATTTTCTACTTGAGTAAAGAGCGAAACAACCAAAGCATGCACATGAAGTTTTGCCGGACCCTCAATCAAATGATTGCCCCCGTGAATTTTGTGGCTCTACGTTCAACAGCTCGTAAGATGACTGCCTTTCTTTGTTTGATCACAGGTGGATTTGGATTGGCCTTCACGTCACTCTGATTGGAATTGTTTTCCTACTATCTTGTCACATGTATTCCAGTGAGCCCACTCCATTGGGTGGAAGCGCTGGATCCTAGTTATGCTCTAACTAGAGCCCAGCGGCAATGCGCTTCCATGGCCGTGCCGGAGTTTGAATTCCGGACACTTGACATACGAGGCAAGCGTGTTACCAATACTCCACCAGTGCACACGTGATGCACCTGGATACCCAAGCCAGAGCGATGTGAACGCGAATCCTACAAATCTCGCAACCACCCACAACTAGTAAAAAAAAAGTGCCCAGGAGGTTTCAAGCATTCGCCGTGCTATCCGGCCGGAAGGTCGTGACAAGTGAGTCACTCGATCGACAGAACCAAAACATTTGCTTGATGCTCATCTGAAGCGTTATGCGTGCCAATCGCGTTGCCAAAAAGTAAAGAGCATCGCCCATTCAGACCTGTTGGTTCTATACATGCAGTTCGCGCAAGTGAAGTGGTAATATGTTTGCCCCGCAAAGCGGACGCCGGAGTTCAAACCCACGCATGTATTGAGATATGCACTGATGATGAGATCCATTTAAAACAAAACTCTAATCCAGTGTTTCCCCTCCCAATTTTTACGGTCTCAACCGGATAACTGTGCCGGCACAATGGCTGCTGTTGTCCGTCCCTGATTGGTTCACCCCAGGTGTTAAGTTACGGTCAGATTTCACAAAATTTTAGCAGTGAGCTGGTTGCCGACCAAAGATAGTAATGGAATTTACAAAGAAGTGTGATATCGTTGTTGATTTACACGCCATCTTCCCAATCCTCACTAGTGCTGACGCCAAACTTTGAGTCTAAAAAAGCAATGTCTTTATAATAACAGGGTAAAAAGTCGTGATCTATCACCAAGTTCATGTGGATGTTTCTTGAGAGAAGAAAAGGCAATTCACGTCAAGGAACAACTCCCCTCATTTCAACAGCTGTTTAATTTGTCAGCCTATCGTTGTGATTTATCGTTGTCGGAACAGATACATCATTCATCAGAGCTTCCCCAGCCAGACGACAAAATTTGCACAGGCTACCTTCTGACAATTAAGGCCAGGATAAACTGAACGCGCACACTCTGGTTAGGTTGCTGCCCGTCTTTAGGATTAAGCTTTACACGATAATTGAAGTTGCGTAGTGCACTATGAAAAGGTGTTCTTGCTCGAAGGCATGGGACGAAGGTTTGTCTTTGGACAATAGTTTGGTCCACCTGAATTGAAGTGCAAGCTCCAGAACACACGTACTATTCGTAACAGCTGGGTAGTACTGTCGTGCGGTAGATTTTTCTCATTTATTATGGTGCACATCATATCTATTTGATAAAAACTTCATTTAGGCATGGTAGTGAAATCGGTGGAAAACCTGAGTAGTAAGGAAAATTATAAACTAAACGTGGTAGGAGATATATAAAACACAGACACTCTGCGCATTGAAGACTTTCCTGCATTGAAATCGAGGTTCCCGCTGAATTTCTGTGACAATTTCAACAGATTTATACCAACGACCCTGTTGTTTACGGATAGCTGGACTCTTGAAATCAATACTGGTTATCGCTTGTTCAGCCTTACTATAGGAAGCAAAATGTGGATCAAGCCTATAGAAGAACGCAAAAACGCCTTCGACAGCACCATCTAAAGCAACTAACCGTCAACGATAACCTCATTATGTCTGCCCAGATAAACTACTCTTATGGTCTTAGAGAATCTGTCACCGCATTTTTGGTGGCACCCTTAATTTTGTTTGACGAGTTCTGTTTCCACGTTACCAACTCCCAGATACACCACAAACACACAGAATTGACATAAACGGAACATTAGGAATACTTGAAAATTGTCGCCTGTTTCAATGTTTCCAAGGTGAATGTGAGGTGAAAGGAATATAATCTGCTGTCCTTTAGCCAACGTTCTAGCTGTCAAGCTCTTTCGTTGTCGACAGCAAACAGTTTTTGTCATTTTCACCGGTGGCCTATCGGGATCACGAGGCAACCCCTTATTGCATGTTTAGTTGCTTACACTAGAGTTCACCCTGAATCTTCATTTAAATCATTTTCATGTGAAAATAACGCCTAAACAATGGCGATTGGATAAGGCGCGGACCATTTTTCCGATAATACGGGCTCAATCTCCTATGAAGCGCCCCCAAAACGAGATGCTAACGCCTTTTGCACACATTTATACACGTTTGTTTCGAAATTATGGCCCAGAAAGTGACTTAAAATGCATTTTATCAATCTGGCAACCATGAACACCTTCATGATAATTCGAAAGTTGAATCTTGTTGATTGAACCAAATGAAAGTGATTTCGAGATTTTAACAATTTGCATTCACACCAATCGCTTCGGAACAGACCTCCTCAAGACTTGGCGCAGTTGGTCTCCTCAGCCCTAACCTCAATTTGGCCGTCAGTGCTGACCATCGTAAGTGCCTGTCTTGACTGCGACACAATTTGAACTAGCAACACCCGACGTGGGGGGTGTGCGTGTTCCCATCACGCCGAACAGACAGGCTGGATGTGTTGAATCATCGCATTCAAACGGGCAAACGTGTTACTAGATTGACAGCTTCCCAAACAACGACCCAGTAGGCGTCTTGAATGTTCGGATCGATTTCGTTTTCTCACACACATACACCAGTTTGTGCACGTCAGACAAATCAAGCAACTCCGAAATAGCTCTTTCACGAGTACAGAACATCAAAAATTTCTCTCTTGCTCTCAGTGTACGTCCCTTGGAGAAAAAGGCTAATTATCCGTGTAAGAATACGCTTAAGTTTTTTTGCAGTTATTATTCACCTAATCAGTTCATGTAATTTTCTATTCACTACCTAGTCTAAAGTTTCGGTTCGTAATCGTTCTGTTCAACTTGGTAGGGAAATGAATCTACACGTTGATGATAATAGAGTTGTCCAAAAAAGTAAGCGTCCGCTTATAGCAGACCACATCAAAAATTTGACAAGAGTGGGAAAGAACTCCATTTAGTACTCCATTATAGTATTTGTTATATAAGTTCAAAAAGTGGACGGACAAAAATTTTGATTGCGTGGGCCAAACACCAAGCATTTTTACGTAGCTTATTGTTTCCTAGAATCCACGCACTTTCTGACTGTCTTCGAGGGATATCCGATGTCATGTTCAACTTTTATACCAAAACAGAATTAGTTTGCGAACTTTTCCAATTTTGCTAGAAATTACTTGAAATGTGACGTATTGAAGTGGATGGCAGAAGAGGAAATAAACATGCTGCGGTTTGAATCCATAGCTTTTCTAGTTTGCTAATTTATGGTGATCACAGCGATCCCATTGCCGCAAAAGTACATCGATCCATAGTTCTACTTTTTAAACGTCCGAACAATTTACGGCACCGATTAGACTTGATGTGTAGTGGTCAAAGAATCTCACACACAAGGTGGTAAAATTCCCTTGTAGTAATTGAAAATTATAGTTTGCAATCACCCCGAAAATTCTACTGGAAAAAGCCGGCCGTTGTTGAATATAAAATATGAAGGATGCATCGGCAAGCAGTCAGTCATGAAAGCAAAACCGCGCTTGTACAGAGTTTGGGAAAGTCAGTGTCCTCAAGCGTGCTCTTAAGCTTTTCCAGACAGGGTCTGAGA